TACACTAATTGCTTAGTACTTTTACTGGTATGTTTCCTTTGCTACATTCTATTATTTGTCACTTACAACTGTTTCTAAATTTAATTTTAATAAATATTTCATTTAAAACACATTTAATGTATTGCTCACCACATCACAATTACAAAACAGATTATCGTATGATTATTTCTTTAGGTAATAGGTTTAAAAAAGATGTGTTTGTAATGCTGAAAACAGAAAAAATATTTACGTTGATTGTTTATATGTTTGAATTGAAGATATGTATTTCATTTTTTACGGTTTAGCTAGATCGAACTATGTCTCATACAGGCTATGTGTGAGGGGAGAAATATTACCACTGCAGTTTCATGGTACAGTCTGTACTCGGACGGATTAAATTTTGTAATTAAATAATTGTTTCTTGGTTTGTGACTATTATTTTTATATTTAGACCACAATAGCATATAGTAGAAAACATGCATGTAGACCAGAAAATAAGTAATGGACATCATTTTTGGGGATTGGGTATAAAGGAAAGGTAATTCAGAATGATACTAAGTGTGAATTGTCATTGAGGTCATTCATCAAAATAATTTCATTCATGGTTCTTCTCTGCAATGATGGTTCTCACATTGATATTACATAAACTCAATGAAATTTTCAAAAATGAATAAATGAAAGACATGTTGAAACTAGAACATCAACATTCAACTGCGCAGCAGCGTGTCTGTAAAGCTTATAAATAATGTAGCCAGTTTAAATACCAAATCATGTGAATGTATAAACCCCCTTTGTTTGTCTATAAAACGGCTACTTATTGTCAGCAAGAGGGAAAAGGAACTCTTTCACAATATACCTATTATGGTAGTAATTACTTGAAGACTAAAATTTTACAACATTTTTGTTTACTTATTATCTTGAGATATAGGTACCAAAATTAAAAATTTGTTAAAACTAAGACTGAAAGCTTGTCTCTTCTTGAAACTTGAAGATCTTCTTTGAGTTTCATCACGTAAGTCTTTATTCTCAAAAAATTTAACGATATCTCACACAAAATCTATAGACAGACACGTCACAGAACTTAAATTTATTTTTATAGGCGTTAGTATTGGAATGCATGTAGTACTGTAAGTCTGTAATTCAATTCCCATAATTTATGATACCGGTCAGAGCAGTTCTTGTTTAAATATTTATAAGCCGATAACGTGACTGCGCACAACGTGCAGCTTATAATACACATGTTGAATTAATAAAGGCTAATGAATAAAAATAAAAATGTTACTTACTTCAGTTTTCAATAACTTCAGCATTGCAGAGGCCATGGCTGTTTTTTTAATTTATTTTATCGTGTGAAAGATAACAGCCAGATCTGTGAGCGGCCCTTAAGCGTGAAGGGGGCAAAGCCAACTGATTAAAATACATATATCTGACCTTGAATAGATAAACTTGAATTTTATTTGTCGTCATGTACCTATCGTAAAGTAGATTTTGTTTTGATTTTGGTAAGTAAAATAATTTGACACAAACGATCCGTTCTAGTTAAATTTTTTTTTTTTAATTGACCTTCTACTCTTTAGTAGCTCACAACATAATTACTTTACAAATTACAAATATGAGAAACCAATAACATATATCTGTTTTTGTACAAAAATATGTTTTTATGCTAAAACAATATCATTGATTATAAATTCGAAACTACTTAGGTACCTATCGTGCAATGGAACGAACTAATCAGTTTTGAAATTGACATTTGAAAATTCAGAGTTACCAGTAGACAAATATTCAATTTTAGTTATTTCTAATTCTTGTTATTTTTATATTAATTAAACTAGATAAACTTAATTAAAATACAGCATAAATGAGACATTACAAGGGTTTTTGTTAGATGTTAACACAATTTATCTTTGAGCTAGTAACACCAACACAATAACACAAGTCATTACCCTGACTATTCATAGAGGACGCTACCAGTCTTAAATATTAATAAGTTCAACTTTTTAGATTTATTTTCCTCTACCTGCAACATAATTCTTTGTCACAAAGCGTTATTTGAATAAAATATACTGTCATACTTTGTTTTAACTATAAATTATGATACATAACCACTAATAATGCCTTTGTTGTGTCAGTTTATCCTTTTAAACAGTAAAATGGTAAATCAGGAAGTAGATAATGGTGGAATCTTAAATGATGGAAGTATAAACAAGGGCTTGATGACATGTCACGACATGTACAATATTGTTGTTATTTTAGTAGCACGTTTTGCATCCGGTAGGGTTGCCAGGGCAGTTACAAAGACCCGTTGATTGCTGACTGGAGCACAGCGGGCCACTGTGTTGATAAGCCGACACTTGATCAAACAGAGACATAGTAACTTCACTGTACGAGGTATTTAATATCTACTTAGATGTTTTCTTCCATAATATTCGTATTCAGTGTCCTATAACAATAACGAGATTGAGCTACCGTCACACTGATAAGTCTTGGCAGAAGGGGAATATGTACTTACATACTACCTTCGCAAAGTCGCAAGTCACAATTTATTACAAAGTGAATAGGTACCTATAATGTACTTACCTACATAAGAACTTTAGAAGACTTTATAAAATGTTAGCTAACTTTCCCTACATTCCTCACACCCCAGGTTACCGGTACCGGTTGAGGTTACCGGAGGCCCAATCCTTCCCATACCCCAATCCGTTCCCTTTTCCAAAATCTCCAAATCTCTAATCCCTAAAAGGTCGACAACGCACTCGTAACTCATCCGTCGTTGCGGGTGTCCATGGGCGACGCTGATTGCTTACCATCATGGCAGGTAATGTATTTGCTCTTTTGCCGAGCTATCATATAAAAAAATAAACCTGTTGGAGGCATAGACCTATTTCAACAGCCAAATATTATCTATAAGATGAGGTTATATTATATCTGGTACAAATTCCTTTCTTGACTTGGAACTATACTTATGTACCGCGGCCCCGACTCGGAACAGGAGAAGGAACGGGGTCGCGCCCCATCCAAGGCGGGAGAAAACATAATATGATGATTTCCCAATTTCATAATAAGATCTATCAAAATGTTGTTTGCGGGTAAGTGGTATTAATTCACTGTTAACAAATATGCACTTATGCAGGTAATAATGGTGGTGTATTTGATTTTGATGGTTCCAAAAACGTCCTTAGTTCCATTTTAGTGATGAAAAAGGGAGCAGAAATATTGTCATAAATATATAGATACTTAGGTACCTACATTAAAGAGATAAAACCTATTAAGATGGCCATTGCAACCGAGAAGTATGTTAGTTCTTTCAAAACGTTAATTTTTTCAGCTGTTGTCGTCGGAGATCGGTCAGTAGCCGAAAGTAGTTTTATGCCATATCAAGTAGGCATTAAAAAATAAGTGATTTATTGCGATTGCTACCTACCTACAGTTAGTTTCAGAGAATAATGTTCCCTGTCACACGCACTGATGCAGAAGTCTTCTGCCGATCCCCTCTAGACGTTAGGTTTGATGTTGTGTAATGTTATCTATATACATAACATACCAAGTCCATGATAAAGCCATGGATCTAAATTCCTACGAACTGAAAGTTGACTGATAACAATGAAAATAATTGTCGACCGACGCCTTCCTACGTTTAGAGTAGCACTTAAGAAAATCTTCTTATTTTAGGTACAAAGCTGGGACATAGGTATCTACATTATGTAAATGTCTAGGTGCCTAGGTGTGGAAAAGATCTTTCTATGCAACAGAGACGCACGTAGGTAGCCTGATAAGAGGGTCAACGACCGGCCTATCGGTCATGCACACAACGACTCACGGTTGCGAATGAGTCTACACACACATGCGCACACGGTGAAATGACTGATTGAAAATGCGGATGAAAATTTAATACGGTATCGTAAAACTGTTTCCATTGGTCAACTGGAGCCATGATAAAAATGGCGACGTTCTCTCTACATTCGAAATAAAGAATCATTCGAAAAAACGTGCTTTTGTAAACCTGCGCTGTATAGCACTGTGACTCACTTTCAGCTACAGTGACGAGACAAAGAAAAATATATTTTAACATTAAAACAAAGAGCAATGCCCATGTAAATCACAAAATTATACGGTTCAAACAACATTTTTGACTAGTACATAATTTATTTGCCGTTTAAGTAGGAAGAATGCTGATTTTCCGTAAACAAAGAGAAACTATTTTTAAATCGATAAAACAATGGCTCATTACATAAATCAAAGCTTTGTTTGTATAAAAATCAAATAAACGTTTTGGTCCCTTCGTTTGAACTTCGGAACGCGTTGATTGACAAATGGATTAATCCGTGGTTTAAACTGAGAGACGAAATCGTTTTCAAAATATTCAAGGAAATATGTCGGTATAGCATCTGATCACATTAATGTGGAAGAGCCGTGCTTTGGCACGAATGAGACGGTTCGACCATGGTGATACCACGGTCTCGCAGACAACCGACGTGAAACAACCACGTTGTTGTTTGGCCCAATTCTTCTGAATACCTCCCCAATCCCTAAATCTCCAAAACTCTAATCCCCAAAGACTGACAACGCACGCATAACTCCTATGGTAATGCGGCGCCGATTGCTTTCCATCAGGTTATCGTTTGCCGTTCTATCATATTGAAAAAATGCAGTTGAATAGTTTGCAGATTACGCAAAGCAAGCAAGGTACCTAAGTATGCCTCACAAGTAAGGCTAACAATCAGCAGTAGTTTCACTGCATTTGCTTCGCTAGTCCAGCTGAACAAAAACTATTTTATCTGACTTTATTATTTCACGGAAGCAAATCAATTTAGACGGAGGACATATTAAAATGTTTACTGCCGATTGTTGCAGGTAGGTATGTAGTTATAAGATGTTTGAGTGGAGAAAAGGCTTTAAATTGCCATAAAAATACTTTTCGTATAATATTTGGACGAAATATTTCAAATTATTATCCAGATCGATAAACTCAGTGTTAAAATACAGGTAATGCACGCTTAAGTACCTACTCACACAACTGTAAGATGAGGTTACTCGACTGCATTCAAGACATGCCCGGAACTCATAACGAGGTGAATTTTCGAGCATAACAGGAAACTGACGAACAGAGTAGAGTACCTGTAATGTGCTGTACACTAATTATAGGATGATAGTAGGTAGGTAGGTAGGTAGTATTAATCGAACAAAAGGCATGTGTTAAAAATAATGTTAGGCATGAAGTCAATAAAAGAAGTTTATTTTATTACTAGCTTTTGCCCGCGACTCCGTTGACGTGGAATAGTGACTTCCTGCAGATTTTCGGTATAAAAAGCCTAGCCCATGTCCTTCCTCGAGTTCCAAACTACGCCTGTATCAAATTTCACAGAAATCTGTTCTGTAGTTTGGGCGTGAAGAAAATACAGACAGACAAATTTACTGTCGCATTTATAGGTACCTACTATTAGTTTGGATAATTTGGATTTGGATAAAACAAAAACTAATGTAGAGTAAGGAAAATACGAATGCGGCTGGAAAATCCAAATGTCTTCAAAATTATCTAATTAGGTATTATTTAGTACCCAATTATGCATTAAACGTTGACTCAAATAAATTTATAAATAGGTCAGTTAATTGCAAACCTCAATCGAATTCATATAAATAGAAGTGACTGTTTTACATGTATATTTATCTCGATACAAGAATCAATGCTTTTATTACATTATGTACATTATAATTGCGCAACTGCAATTACTAGACAATACTCAATAAATAACACTTAGATTGTAAAAGATCATGTAAACAACTACGTAGTCTTACACTTTGTTTTGTTACTGATAAATAATCGGCTAATAAGTATCTATAAACTTATAAGTAATTGAAAGTCACTGTAATTTGCAATGGATTTGCGAATGTTTATTACGATGACGCAATAAATAGTAAATATGATACATAAGCCAGTAGGTACATGCCTTTTTTCCTTCTTAATACCTAGCTTTAATCAATTCATTATAAATTTACTGGCTGGTAAATTTGGCGCGAATTGAATTAAGAAGGTTTTATATCACTACAATTTGAAATTTAAAGAAGACGCAGCCCGATAGTCTATGGCGCATTTAAAAGTCTGTCCTTACAAGAAAACGGTCTATTTAACTTTTATTTATACATATGACTTCTCTCGCTTAGGATATAGGTAGAGAGAGCGTCAAACTCTTACTGACTAAAAACCCACCCGTTTCCACTTTACTCCAGCCCACGGTACCTTAATGTGCTTACCCCGCAACCCCGGCTACCATTGAGTTATACAGTACGCGGATGAAACCACAAGTTAGCCAGATATTAATTCAAATAACGCAACCGCAGTGCAATAAAACTTATGGAAACCGCAAGCAAATGAGTAGGTAGATACCTCATCTGTCTAGTGATTTTTAATCTACTCACACGAGACGGTAACCTCACAAATTACCTCATTATAATATCTAATGAATATCCCGACAATGTTAATAGCACCAGGAGACAGGTCGGGAAGATAACCTCTTTCGTCTCGTCTGGGAGCGTTTTCAATGCATACCATAGTTTAGCATGCAGACACGATTTTCATGCAAATATTTCAAGGTAAGGACTCGGTTGTAAATAAGATAACGTATACAATGTGTGAATCACAATTCACACGTTGTTTTGATGTCGATCCTTATTTTTTTAAGTACTTACAGCGTCATAAGTTGTCAGATTACCCAATGTAGGTACGTTCGTGCGAACTGCGTACGCGCCGAACTCGTTTTTCGAAGAAAATCACCGATTTTCTATCTCCTTTTCTTAACAAGCTATTTGTAATTTTCCTCAACATACACGGTGACTAACTGTAGGTACAAAACTTTGTAGTGACAGACATTCTGTTGGCAATTTTCGCAAATTATAATTAATTCAACTCATTATTCATGTTTTTCTAATAAGTAATATAATATGCTAACGACCTGCAATGCTGATATCCTTCCTCTTCAATCACTCTATCTATACTAATATTATAAAGAGGTAAAATTTGTAAGTTTGTATGTAGGGGGTAATCTTCGGAACCGCTGGTCGGATTGGCAAAATTCTTTCACTGAGAGATAGCTACAATGTTCTTGAGTGCTATAAAACATCACGCTACGATCAAATTGAGTCGAGCAGCGGGTGAAACCGCGTGAAAGTAGCTAGTTTAATATAAAACTGAATCAAAATCCGTTGAGTAGTTCTAAAGATTTAAGGGATAGATAGTGATTCAGGGATCTTTTTAACGTGTGATATTCCCGTAGATATGTAGGTACATGTCTAGACAAAGAAGAATGACTAAAACCACACACTCCATCCTTTTAACAATCAAATGTTCCCAGTGTACTCGGATGAACGAGCTCACCAGCGATATTTATAAGAATCAACCAACATTCTAACATTTAAATTCAAAACTGAAAATTGCAAAGTTAAAACACAAAGCACTTTCTTTTCGGCTAGCACCTAATGTCGATAACAATTTATTTGTCAACAAATATCTTAATTACCAGCTTATAAGTATAGATTACTATTTAATATGTTCAATCTTGTACGATTATGAATGTGAAAGAAGGAAAATTTTGATAAAAAAATTATACTTAGGTACATTCACTATCTACACAAAGGTATCGAAAGATGAATGACCTTACGCCGTTGCCAAGGCGACTTGCTTCATTATTAATGTACCTAGTTGTTATGTTTAATAGAGTGTCATAACAAGGGATTACTGAGTGCTTTATTAGTTAGACCATTAATAACATGACTGCTGGCGAATTGAGAAATAGGTAGTCTAAAAGAATTGTTTATGTACTACCACTGGTAGGTTTTTGTTAGTAAAGACTGCTTATCTACAAAACTAGATAACGGAATATACAAAACAATAGCAAAGCAAGTGATAAATATTATTAAATTGTTGAGTCTTAGTTAATTGTTTGTGTAAGTATTTATGAAAGACTTTCTTTTCTAGATTAATCTTGACAAAGTGCCTAAGCGACCAAATGACATGATTGCACGGTTGGCGCGGTGGCTGGGCAACGTGACGCAGCTGCGTCACGTTGCCCAGCCCAGCCCAGCGCTCGTAACAACTCTTTGTGTGATCCTCAAATTGCTGTTCCGAGTCTGGACTCCCGCAATAATGGAGGAGTTACGAGTAAGGTACGTTGCCAACCTTTTGGGGATTAGGGTTTGGAAAAATTTGGGGATTGGGGGAGTAGAAGGATTAGGCCTCCGGTAACCTCACTCACATGGGAAAACCCAACGCTGTGGTTGTTACACGTTCCGTGTTTGAGGCCGTGGTATCACTCGAGTTATCAGGTCGAGCCGACCGATTCGTGCCGCAGCACGGTTCTGCCACAAATATCAACCGTTTCCTTTAAACCAGGCTTCAAACAAAAACACGAGATTATTAGAGCAGGTCTGTAAATAACATCCTGGGTTAGTCAAAACTTTTGTTTAGCTACTGACAAAAACATTTTGCTAGTACATACTTTCAGTCTTTAAATACGAAAGTTTATAGATAAGCGATATCATCTCATTATAATTTAGATACTACCTACTTCAGCATTTTGAATGATATGATGCTTCAGACAGGCAACTGATAACATTGTTTTCAACTAAAATACATTCGTTTGTGTGCTTATACCTACGCGACGTCTACTGTAAATAAGTATTCGCATCCGTTCCAATTAACGCTATTAAATTTTAATTACCTACAATATTTTTTCTTTGACATTTCGGTATGGAATTCAACGAATACGGATCGTATGGCAACTCTGTAGGATTATAGTATACGACGTTTAATAGTGATTGTTTTAGATATTCTTATTATTCAGCCGGGGTTGCGGGTTAAGCGCAATGAGTCACCGCGGCCTCGACCCAGAGCTGGAGAAGGAACGGGGGTTTTAGTCAATAAGAGTCTGACACTCTCTCTCGCCTAACCCTGGGCGGGAAAAGTCATATGATGATTTTCCCCTGACAAAAAACTATTCTTATAATTTTATTATTTAGCATATAAACATATAAATTACATTTTTAAATATTCCTTGAAAATATATAATAAAAAACATTTAATACTGTTATACCTTTCAACTAATTGACTATGTATAATAAGCATTTCCGATCGGGTTGCGGGTCAGTCGCGGCTTCGGGACTGAGCAGGAGAAGGAACAGGGTGGATTTAAGTCAGTAAAAGCCAAATCTATCTCCCCAAGGCTAGAGAAGTCATTTGATGATATTCTCACAAAGTAATTTCTTCTCAAACGCTGTTCGATGAGATAGTTCTATCATCACAAGGACAGCATGTATAACTGAATAAAGTAATTTCTCACTTATATGAAATGCTAAACGATAATGTGTCATTTGTATTCAATTGAATAATTATTGTACCTAGTTACAATTATTGTTACCCGGACCTCAGTCCGACCGAATCTCAGTTGGCCAAGTTATTAAAATTATCCGCAAAATGTAGGTACACCGAAAAAAGTCACTGTCACTGACTGACTGTGAATTTAAATACTTCTAAAATTTTATTCCGTGTACAACGAATATGTATTCAAATGATTCAGAATTTCATTTGGTGGTTAAATAATTTTATTGTAGATACAGGTATTGTACGATCAGCTGTTTCAAGAAACAATTCGTTGGTTCAATAAAATATTCCGTTTGCTTTCTTTGACTAGAAGAACGATACGACAATAATGCCGTAGGAGTTATCATTTTAACTCAGTTTTGCTTTAGAATCTGTAATTATGCTTTTTTATGACAACAGTCGGAGAAAAACTTAGAAAAGGCGACAAATTTTAAGGGAAAAAATATATGGGTGTCTGGGATCTTTTTGTAGGCATTGCTGGAACTGAATTTAATTTGGCAAAGCGATAGATTATACTAAGTGTCGAATATCACATCGGCTACCTTTAACTTAACCCTTATATCAGCTATTTACTTCCTAAAGAACTAACTACTACTACTACTTCATAATATATTTTATTTAATTATTTTTTTCATAAAAAACTAACATACATTACATATATATACACAAAACCTAAATCTACGTTAGTGCCATTGCACTATGAACTATAGGTATCATTATGCGTTCCTGTGGAACTTGTCCGCGGAAGCAACGAAACATCACGTATTATCGATACTAAGATCTAGTCAGCCGCTAAAATTCCGAGAAGTGTCAATGAGTCATAGTTCAGTACTGCAAAGTAACCATGCAACTCATATGTCTCCCAGCTGTAATTTAGTGTGAAGAACTAACAATAGCGAGTATGCGTAAGATTACCAGATAATTAATCAAAGATATGACTAATCGTATTTGTAATTACAAACGTAGTCGGGTAATGAGGTATCAAGAACCACGCTTCGATTATTAAGTATTACCGAAACTATTTATTTACCAAAGGGTAAAATATGTAAGTTTATAGGTAATCTTTGGAATCGCTGGACGGATGGCCAAAATGCTTTCATTGATAGATGGCTACGTTGTTCCTGAGTGCTATAGGCTATAAAACATCACGCTACGATCAAATGGAGTCGAGCAGTGGGTGAAACCACGCGAGAGTAGCTAGTCGGTCTATAAGACACGTATACGCGGCGTTAATATATCCAAGTACCTAAGTACTAACTATGAGCCTCCCGTCGAACTATGGCAGAATCGCGGCAGTTTTTGAACACGATTACAAGTCGGTAAGCCTGCGGTATTTTCCCGCGCTCGTTATCCATTTAAAAAACCACGCGGTTTATTTTGTAAGCCTTATTTTGTTGATTGTTCCGAATTTAAAGGCATAATTGGCGAAAAAGGTTTTAGGTATAACCGAACTTTAGCTTGTCAGAAAGAAAATACGTGGATATCCAGAGAGAAAATACTACGTAAATAGTTAGTCTTTACTAATTTTTTTCTATCGTGTTACAAATCTCATGCTGGATCATTATGACTTAGACTTTAATTTAACAATACTAGGTACTATATCTATTCATTAATACAACATAAATAAACGTACACGTCCTAGCGGCTATCCCGCAGAGCGATCTAGTAATTGGTGCGCAAACGCATATCAACGCACAATCTCACAGTACCTACGTTCTCTATTTGAGAGCTAGGTCAACGCACGCCGTACTTATCGCTCATTTAGCTATAAACAAAGTTTATCGAACGCACACGCACCGAACAATAGCGTCGAACGACATAAAACTCACAAACTGCCTACTGCCTACAACAGTAGCCAGTTTTTAGAACAATCACTCCATTTGTACGTTGAACTTTAAATATTTGCATCGATTTTAACATTTCTTGAATAAAGGTTAATTAATTGAGGTGTTTGATTAAATAATTGGCGGTTAATTATTTATTTTGTCATCATCACGTCATTTTTACTGCTAAAAAACAGTTCTAAGACGGAATTACAATTCCAATGTGATTTTATGGTTTCCAAGTTCATTTAACATTTTCAGAATTTTAGTACCATTTACCTTTTTGTTGCATTTTACACTCATCCTGCATCAATAAATATTACCTTTTTCTAATACTATACTATATTAGGCACATCAAATGGTACTTATAGTTATTATTCACGCCATACCTGCATAAGAACTTAGGTAACATTTTGGCAACTATACATATTTATGTATTACTATCAACTTTCTTATAGCCCGCCTAGCTCGCCATATGTTTAAGATAAGCCACACAAACATCCGGCAATCGTCTAGATACACACCTATCTATTAAAAGCCTCAGATAGAGAATGCTTATCACAAAGTAGCCATACTAGATTTTTTATCGTTCAAAAAAATATTTATTATTTGAACAAACTAATTAAGTATGCAATAATTTTAATTACAAAGGCGGTGACGGAGGCATCCATGTTGACCGATAACATGTTTCGACTTCGACGTAGGTATAGGTCGTTGTGTTAGTCAACAGCTTATGAAACTACCCGAAATTGTCACATAACTTCAATAGATTTTCAACCTTAACACAAATTAACAGAGTCGAAACACTATCAAAAAAATTAACAGGATACCTAATATACTTCAGTGTGTAATACATCTGTCTGTACAGAATTTTGTACTAAATGTATAACGTGTAGGTAAGTGGTTGAACAAACGACGAGTACACTTGGATAAATAATAAATATATCCGTATTGTTCTCCATTCCTGCTTACGACTTGTTACACTTGTACCACCTCACTGCATTCATTACTTTCCACCGCCATAATTAAATAGGTAGGTACTTAATTTTTTAAGAATACTTCAATAATACCAACGAATGCATTCCTAAAGTTCACACAACCGGATCGATTTTGGTAATATACCTACAAGCACCTGCTTTTTTGCACCTTTTTTATTTGAAAACCGGTAAATTGGCGCCGTTTAGTTAAATTTAGATTTGGTTGGACCCGTCGAACGAGCTAAAGGCATACAAATATAAATCGATTGGTATCCAGCTTAGAATGTTTCGAAAACAAATATTCTTAAATTGCCTTGTTTTTGTAGTACTTGCTCTTTAAATTTTCAAGAAGTCGTATGACTTGGTTGTGAATAATTAAATAATTTCTGTATTATTGTAGACAGGGCAGCAACCCTAGTAAATGTTTCTATACTAGTCCTTTTCCAAAGGGTTCTACATTTTGTAACAAGAAAAACACCTTCATTAGAAGACCAACCTATTAGCTTCTGCCAGAGCGAATGTAGGACGTCCTCAGGCAAGGTGGAGTGATGATTTGCGCAAGATGGCTGGCAGGAGCTGGATGCGAGTGGCCGAAGATCGATCCCAGTGGCGTGCAATAGGAGAGGCCTATGTCCAGCAGTGGACTGAAAAGGGCTGATGATGATGATGATGATGATGATGATGAGCGAAATGCTACGTGCCGAATGCTCGAGTCTATTCGGGTCGGGCGATGAGCTATCCTGACTCGCCGCCCGGTCCTCGCGATCCCCGTCGCATGGAGTATCTCATACTATCTTTGGCGTCCTTCTTACATGTCATCACTAGTTCGACGGAAGAGGAGACGGCTTCCTAGTATTTCTCGGCTGGACGCGAGAAGTCGCCGTCGCTGATTACTTCACTGAGGACACGACGATGCTCAGCCGAAGCAAGGTACACCTCCTATGTAGGTTCCACTACGTCCTCTTCACAATAACGCCATCCGGGCGTTTATATACGCTGAATCCGAAACAGATACCTCTCGAATCATTCGTGTCCAGTAAACACGCGGCGTCTCACTAGTCACTCCTTAAAGAGGGAAATTATGAAACATATAAATGAGCGAGGATGACTTCACTGAAACCTGAACCCGGTGATCCTAAAAAAAGGGTCCTAAAGTTTTGTGGAGCCACCAAATAATGTAAGACCTACCTACATACTTTAGAAGCTGTTGGCAGAAGCTAAAACAATTGTCTTAATAAGAAAATAATTATAACAGCAGTCTGTTAAGTACCTTTAACAGATTTCTCACCTTATAGTTTTGCAATAAAGTTTAAAATCTATGAACCTATAAGTACATTGTTCAATCAAAGGGTCGAGGTCTTTGTTTACTAAAAGAAATGAAGTGACACAGGTGCTTTTTCTATTTGTTCACTGCATACCAAACCCTAATGTTACGTTGTTTGTTTCACACAAATATATTATTACTTACATATGTCTTCTTTACATTCTAACATGGTTGTACGTACCTTCTTTGGTACTTAGCTTTGTAATTTTTTTCCTACATCTTAATCTGCAGAAACTTCTTTTCAAACTTTCTTCTTCTTCAACTTTATGTCGTATAAAAGTATTATCAATCAGCTCATGATAAAGTTCAAAAGTAAGGACTGTAAACGGCCTCTCTATCTTACTTACATATCGTAACAGATGGATGGATATTTACTCTTTCGAGTAAAAACTATTTAATGGATTTGAGATACA